TTTAGGGTTTAGGGTAAACCCTAAAACCCTAAACCCGAAAACCCTAAATCCTAAAACCCTCTGAACCCTACAACCTTAACCCCTAAACCCTCAAACCTCAAGCCCTAAACAAGGGGTTTTCTTTTGGTTCAAACCCTCCCGCCCGAACTCGAGACCGGGCCGGGGCCTTTGGAAACAGCTGCTGGAGGCTCTGCCGGGCCTCCTGAAAAGGCAATCTACTATATTATATTATATATATATAAATATATATATATATAGCTATATAATATATATATATATATATATATGTATGTATGTATGTTACAAGTTATATACCATGTATAATATATAACATATAGTATATCTTGTGTGCTAAACACTGTATCCTAGATCCTATCTCCGACTTGCAGCTTCTCTCGGTGCTGCGACTCCAGGCACCGGTCCGGTCTGCTGTCCTCTTTCCGGGACTGTGCCAGAAGCCAGCGGGGAGTTTCCGGTAACTGTCGGCTCAGCAGCAGCTGCAGGAGTGCAGGTAGCACCTGTCAGGGTTTAGGGCTCAGGGTTTAGGGTTTAGGGCTTACCACTTTGACGCACCTAGGCCCTAAGGAACCGTTGTGAAAAGCAAACAGGAACTGCTTCGAGTCAAGACACTGCCAAGCCAAACTGCCACCTCCATGCCTGATATGGGAAAGGCTGCAGAGCTGAGGACCTGCAGTGCTCCAAGCGATAAGAGCCCGAAATGCGCTGAAGGTCAATGTCAGCTACCCGACACCATGTTCAGACCTGCTCCAGAATCTGGTGCAAATTCCCACCAAGCTACACTATGTAGGACACGAGGATTCCGCTGGTGCCAATGAAGGGCGCCCAGCCACCCAAGCGTCCACGGCACACAGCTGGACTCACCTGTAGAGGAGACTCCGGGTGCCCAGACTGCAAATCCAGCACTGTGGGAAGACAAAGAGGCCTCTGTGATGTAGAGGTTCGTAAGCACCGAGGAAACGCCGATTGACAGTCCACACAGGAACCTCTTGCAATGCACTTGCTTCTGCAACCCTCTAAGGCTGTGAAGCAAGTCCCACCAACTGCTACGCAGAGCCTGGCGGCTAGAAGGAAGAGGAAGGATGGTGCAGCGGCCATTGCCTTGGCTCATTGATGATCCCCGGTGATCTTGGGCGGTCCAGGCTAGAATCTGAGTCAAAGTCAGCCCAGAATACCTGCTTGCAAGCAGTAAGGGTGCTGCAGTACTACCCAGCACCAAAGTTCGGCATTGTGGAAAGCAGACGACGTCGGAGCCGCTTCTTGCTCAAGCTTTGCAGTTCCAATGCCCACTACCCCTCCAGCACCCTGGGACCATACCCCCAACACTCGCGGTCTCGATCCAAGACACGAGCGGTGCCAGCGCAAAGAGGCTTGCTACAGCAAGCAGAGTTCTGCGACGGCCCACCAAGTTTGCCACCTGCACACCAAGCCAAAACACACACCAACCAGCTGGCTTCCGTTTGTCCACACCGTGCAAGGACAAAGCGGTCCTGACCACCGAAGGCCCCCAATGCTGCAGCAGGCAGCGCAGAGCTCACAAGCACCTGCATGATGGGTCCGACTTCGAGGGTTCGGCGACATCACCCGATGCATCCATGTTGCAGTAGCTTGCGGCAGTGCAGGAGGAAAGTTGCAGTGATACAGGCGCCATAATGGATTCGGAAAGTATGTACCGTTACTACAGTACCAGACAAGTACACTTATACTGTAGTATTCTAATCTCTAATTTCTTATGGAACATTGTGCTACATCGTGATGTTGCATGTTGCATGCACTTGAAGTAAGCAGCATGTAAATGCATCGTGTACCGGAGTACGCTGTACTACCTTGTTGCATATTGTATGTCATACGGTATGTCATTCCATGTGCCATATTCTATACAGAGTGCAACTTTAGACGCTAAGCTATGTTGTATGAGATCACATGAAGTAAATGACATCGTATTACATTCCGAACATATCGCATCACATCTATGCGTACATACATACAAACAGACATACATACAAACAAACATACATACATACAAACATACATACATACATACATACATACATACAGTGCTTACATGCACATATAAACATAGATACACAAACACATACGGACATATGTAGATACAAATGCACATACGCACCTCTATACAAATACATATATATATATATATATTTATTTATTTATTTATTTATTTATTTATGTACTTATTTATTTATATTTCCATCTGTATTTATATATGCACACATATATATATATATATATACATATGTATGTTCGACTGTGTATATACCTCTAAAAAAGGGGAATACTGTAGGCTTCATGTGGTATTTAGCACATGCTCTGAAAACAGACAAGGAACCTTTCTTCCGAGCATTCAATCGTCTTCCTTCCTTCCTTCCGTTGGGGACGAGTCTGCACGAGCGCAGACCCATATCGTCTCTCTCTCTTCACTTCACTTCACTTCACT